ACGCGAGGTGCACGCGTCCAAGAAGCTGATGCCGCAAGCGTCTTCTCTCAGCCGGATGCTGCTCCTGAAATGTCAGGTTACCAGGTATGTTTCTACAGGAGCCCACCAACGTTTTTCTCAGATCAAACTAAGGTAGGTTGGGGACACGTTCACAGAGCGCTCTTGCAAAGGGGAGAGTTACTGTAGTTCGGTGGTCGTTTGGCCCAGAGCCGCAACTCCTGTTCTCTGTATGTAGGAAGCGGCCCTCACGCCGCATGTCACGTCGTCCATGTCCAATCACGCACAAGCGCATGTAGAATCCCACTGCGACGGCATGTGCTGCCCTCCTTGATGCTTCGGGCTCTCAAAACTAAAATGCGGCGAGCAATCTACCCTCAGTGCTATGGTGATGCACGCTGTCATCGGCTCACTCTACTGTATCGACACATGTATTCCTCTTGTCAAATTCAATCGCCCACCACATTTACTGCTGTGTCCGAGCATGGACCACTGGACGAATTTCTTGAAAAGGGGTTGTAGAGGCTTGAGTCCAATGTCTAACATATCGTGCAGACCGCACGCCGTGTCTCTACCGGAGAAGGTGGGCCACGAGTCTCTGGGGAGAGAGACATTTGGAATGTGCGTCATCTCGCCAGCCACGTTGGCTGCGAGGAACGGCGTGTACCTCTCTCACAAACCCGTCTCTCTCCCCGAAAAATACTTCAGCCGGGGGGCTACGACGGCAAACACGGGAGTCCCGATACTGACCAACTCCATAAATGGCATACACTTTTCAACTACGCCCCGCCTAAGGACTGAATACCACCGAACCCATTGCCCCACGTTAGAAACAAGCGGGGAATGAGGGCGGGAAATTTCTATTCCGCTGCCACCTACGTTGGAAGGCCACTGCGGTCCTTCCGTCTCTTTACATGCTTGTAGCTTCCGCTCGTTTTTCATGCTTAAGTTGCCACTGCCACCACGTGCTCTCCTCCACGGGGTGACAGAAAGGGTTCACTCTGATGACCTGGGGTTTTCGATAGAATATGAGGTGTCCGCTCTTCCAACTCACAAGAAGAGTCATTGCAATATGTTTGTTCGACGAAGGAAATTCTCGTTTATCGTTTCAGCCACATGTTCCAAAGAGGGACCTAACTCAATGATATTCGGTTGAGCCAACTCATCACGATCAAGAAGATCCAACCGCGCCGCCCCTCGCCTACAGAGCACTCGAGAAAACAACTCTACGCCACACACCAGCATGCGGGCGACTCCCTAGTCTAGATCGAATGAACTTAAGTGAGGTGCGGGTGGTGCACCCAGCAAAACTTCCCTCCGAGTAGCCTGAACTGTGCCAACAATTCGACAGTAGTAGTAGTGCCGGAAAACATTGCGGTCGACATCAGAATTCCCTCGATTTTGGTGGCATGGTTGTCTTGGAATAATGGCGTGTACATTGGATGGTGAATATTTTACTCCAACTACCTTGAAAATGTACCAGGGAGTTCAGATCCGACCAAAACAACAAGATCGGTCGGTTTCGTCAAACTCCTATCTTTGAACGAAATATTTCTCTCACTCTGGATAAAAACGTTACGACAAAAATGACGTAGACGATGTGCGGATTTGGAAGTCTTGTTGGCCATGGACGATTTGGCTGTGGCGCGAGTTGATCACTCCATGACAAGCATGGGATGCAGCATTAAGTGGCGTCGTCATGGTTATCAGCGGTTGTTCTATTCGACGCGTTCAGTTTGGCGATGGACTCCGTCATGTTTCAGCTTCAAAGTGCTCCAGACCCGACGTATTACATCAACGTGAAAACCCATCCGCCCTCCCCTTTTGGCACAGTTTCCACCCCGGTATTCGTACCCCCAATCATTTGTTAGTGTCAAAATTACGCGCGGCCAAACCAACTACAACAGGGAGGCATGACAAAAATGAGTCAAGGACAAGTCGTACGATATACTCAATACAACACCTAACAATCGACAGAGAATGAAGATCAGCGTTGGCATGTACGCAACCCAAAGGGTAGCAAAAAGCATTGCAGTACATGAACTCGGACAGTCCTATTGCGAAAACCTCCAGAGGACGTAATCAGACGGACCACGTGTTTTCCACTCCGGCGCGAGCGATGCAGCTCAAATCCCCCGCCCCTACCGTATGCTTCAACTTTGGACAGCCGCGGAGGGAGTATATACGCGTATTGGCCAAATTGTGCCACTCAAGCGGAGGCCTTCATTTGCCATTGCCCTTTCTTCATCATTAGCCGGCGACGTCTCGCGCACTGGCCAGGCGCCGATAGCGTTTCGGGAAACAATCGAGAAACCAGACTATATGCGTATACGCCGATATATAACATATCATCCTTCGTTGGCTAGAACACGGCGGTCATGCGCAGACTCGAATCAAAACGTCTCCCAAAATTCTCGGCGGTACGCAGCGCCAGCAGGGCTGTCCCGTATGAAATGAGGGATAATTCAGATCGCTATGCGAAACCAAAGTATTTGAAACAAAATTCAAAGGTGCTTTCACTCTCGACGTGCGAAAATGTTTCGAGAGAGAATGAAAATGGACTTTCGATTTCGAGGTTATATTGCATGGTTTGACCCTTAAACTCCCCACTATTCTGAACATCACTCGATTGAACAGACCATGAATGAGTTCGGCGCTGTTCGTCTGTATCGAGGTGTGGAACAGGATTCGGGATATCCCGAATTTCGCAATTTCACTTTGGAACCAAGAGAACACACCCACGGGCCCTTTCGAACAAACATACACCATTTTCGAAATCAAAATATGTGCAGTAATAGTAGAAGCTTCGAACTCTTCGCCACTTCGAAGATCCCGCAAGTAAGCGTTAGTTCGTTCGTATCAAGGAACCAACAAATGAAAAATTGAAAGCTTGAGGCTGTCAATAATGGAAGGGCGGTCATACCTTGAATGATTTGCCTGGACGCTCCATCACCACGAGGGCATGTCCTTCGAAGGGAAGGGACCCCTTTCTGTGAAGGGCGGCATCACACTCAGCGGAGGCCGTGAGATACGTTTGGCGAATGCATAGGATGCAAATGAAAGGTTCGCAACTTCTTGCGACACAACACACGGCCATATATATATTTCGCCCAGTGCAACGTGAAAAATCTCGTTCGGTGCAAACCAATTTACTCCCGGAAGCACGCGGAGTTCCGATGTGGCAAGTTCATTCGCATCGGGGCTCACTTTCACTCCGAGGTTCGGCAATATTTGTATCCTCTCGTGCGATGCGAAGCCTGCAAGGAAGGCCAAAGCCAGGATCACGTGGCCTGGGCACCGAGTGATATACGTTACGCTGAAAGTCGTTGGTGTTGACGTGTGCGAAAGTTGCGCTTGTTGTTTCTTCGGAGACAGAACAATATACCGCTTGCTGAAGAATCCTGTTGTTGCTCACGCACGTATACAGCAGGTCTGCTTGCTAGATTTCCTGAACTCAAACAACGTTCCCGTCCAGCCAACCTAAAATCCAAACGACCCATCGTCGAAGGAACAATTCGTTCACGGGCTCACACAATAGACACAATAGCTTTAGCTCTGCCACAGGAAAATGCTCTCCAACGGGTATACTGGTGGAACTTCGCCAACCTTGTACTTGTTTGTAGCGTCATCCCCTACCAGGGCAGGAAATTGAGTTGTATGTACAATTTACACACCAGTCCAACATCCGCCGACTTCCCACCCCCTCTTGAGAAATCGTACGTGATCAACTATGGCGGCCGGCAGCACTACCTTTGCCGAAACGGACGCGGACTGAGCTCTGTACTCATGATACAATTCGCCGCCTTTCTAGCAAGTTTACGTCCAAGCGCGCACAAACCACAGTCACGCCTCCCTGGTGCCCAAGGTATGAGGTGGTGTAAATTGCAACAGGCAGGAAAACGATTGCATGGCATGTGTGGGTCTCTTCTGTCCATACGAACTCACCGCAAACGTACGATGCACCGAAGGGGGCGCATGCCTCTCTCGCACGTACGTTGTTGGTCAAGGGTGTCAATGGATGTGTGAAGGCGGCGTGCGCCAGCCAGGTGTGTGTAGAAAGACCAGCGATACCGCTGCTAAATGCTATTCAGAGCAAAAGGCTCGCAATAAACGGAAAATTATTAAATCCCCAGTCCAACACAATCCACACGACAGGGGTGCTTGTGCGGTGGCTGAGCTCACAAACATTTCACTCATTTTTCACGCACCGCCGTACGTGGTTGCCTACGCCATGCACCACTTCCGGATCAAAGCACCTAAACGATACCTCAAAGCGGTGTTGGACTGTACGTTGTCCTCGCAAAGTGTACGCTATACCCGCTGTACGCGCCCGCTGGGCCGACAACGGGGGAGAAGAGAGACACGTCGCATGCCTTGAAAACCTCTGAAGCTTTAGCTTCAGCTTCTCAGACCAATATCCATGTTTCATTCGACTCCCTCAACCCCTTGCCCGATCCGGCCCTAAACGCTGATCTCGAGCTACAATGCAAATCTAGTATTTCGTGTATTGTAGCTGTTGTCGCCCCTCTCTGTTCTTTCCGCTTCTTATATTTTTTGTAACAGTCTGTTGGAGTTCTATCGGTCCCCCCGCCCATCTAAAATCCATTGGTTTTCACTTGTATTGGACGGGAATCTTTCTTTGCACAAGGGGCAGCCCGCGCAAGGCAAGTCGCCCCCCCCCTTTCCCCTATCCTTAAAAAGGGGGGCCCCGGGGGGTTTCGGGTTACATTACCATTGCTTTTTTTGCCCCCCCCCCCCCCCTGCGGGAGGTCCCGTGGTTTGTTAATCAACGCTATGCCCTGGTTCCACAATTCCCGTCTCCATGCGCTTCGATGCCCTGCGGAATACGACAACCGTACCCCGAACCACAAACCTATACCTACACAATAGGACCCATTGCACTCGTACTCTGATTCCTACTCGACGGCGTTCTTTATTGCTCGTCTGCCTATGGTACCGCCAAAGACTGTTGCCAATAGTGGTCAGCCGTTTTGGTGCTGTCAATGCCAGCGAACGGCTTACCCACACACACGCACGCTTTGGCACGCGCGTTGCAGGTTTCGGCGATGCGCGTCTCCGCGATAAAGGAGGAGCTCGACGAACGAGGGGTCGGGTACAGAGGGCTCTTCGATAAGTCGGAGTTCGTGGACCTCCTGGTCGACGCTAGGGCCGAGGGGATCACCGCACCTCCGCTATCATCGTCCGGCGACACCGATGGTGGTGCTGGGAGCGGAGGGGGGGCATCCGCCCAGGCACAAGACAAGGCCGACGCCGCCTACAAGGACGTCGAGGTGCGGAGAAGACTTGGAAGAGATGCTCCCAGGGACGGGTCTAGGTTGGCGCGGAACAAGCCAGGGGTTGGTATCTGGGAATGTTTTGACGCATTGATGTTTGTTCGGTGCCCCTCGTGTTGTTCGTGTTTTGAGGGTGTGCAAAGGGACCAGGGGGCGTTTGCCTTTGAAGAGAGTGAATGGAGCCTCTTGTTGGACGTCGCCCCTCTCATTGTGCTGATGACACTCGACACTTTTTGCGTCCTCGATGACACTTGACGGAAGGCACCTGCAAACCACGAAAAAAATCGCTTGCCTCTCTCTCAGCCGGCGCCAACTCGCCTTTTCGAAGGCAAAACAAGTAGCCGCATCCACCGCAACTGTTGTCTAGCCATCGTGATCGCAGATGCGGTAGATAACACCGGTGAGGTATGTGTGTGGCAAATGTATCTACGCCCTTTTTGACTCGACATTGAGGCACGGCATATTTAACCACACACACCCAACTCAGCAGTTTCATCCACGTCAACGAAACATCCAGGATTCCCACCACCTACCCGCCCCGCTGCTCGGGTGTTTGCCCCTTTTTCTGCTGCAAGCAGGTGAAGAAGATGAACAACGACCCCTCCGGCGGCAACGGCGGCGGCGGCAGCGGCCAACAACAGCAGCAGCCCGGAGGCGGCGGTGGTATGCCCGGGGGGATGCCCAACATGGGCGGGGGCGGGGGCGGTGTCAACATCAACGACATCTTGAGCGGCCTCGGGGGTATGGGCGGGGGCGGCGGCGGGGCCGCTGGCGGGGCGGGGGGGGGGGGGCGGGGGCTTCCACATCGGCAGCATTCTTGGCGCGATGGGAGGAACAAGCGGTGCGGCGGGGGGCGGTGCGCCAGGAGGAGGGGGGGGCGGAGGGATGGGAGGCATGGGTGACATGATCGGGAAGATGATGAACAACCCGAAGGCCATGGAGGCGTTCCAGAAGGCGCAGAGCAATCCAAAGGTAAGTTTTATTGGCGTGTTTCAGGTCGACGAAATGCGGTCTTGGTTGTCTTGCAAGAGAGAGAGAGTTGGGCTGGCTCACTGTGCACCCGCCTTCGCCCAGACGTAGGCCATGAGCATTTGTACATACTCTCTTCCGTTTGTCAGATTCGGAAGGACACAGTGGTTTAACGATTGTGAGGAAGGAGGACTGATAATAAGGTAAAACAGCTCTTGATGATCAGCATGCCGCCACATGCTCCCTTGTCCCTCCCTGTGCATTTCAAAATATGACGACCATTTTTATTGTTGTTGCGTGTTTCCTCTACTCCTGTTTTGATATCCTGGTGCCGCGTGTACGCGACGGCACGTAGGTCATGGCCGCCATCCAAGACGTTACCCAGAACGGCATGAGCGCCATGTCCAAGTACCAGGACGACCCCGAGATCTTGGCGATCATCGAGGAGCTCAAGGGCTTGTTCTGAGAGACAAAGGGTAGGGGGGGCAAGATTGCCACACCACCGCAGGCTAACAGCAGCTTAGTACCACCATCGATGACAACGTAGTCTCGGAACCCTGGCACCGACAAAGGGCACATGCACGCCGTCGAGTGAGAGTAGACAAGCTCTCTCCCGCTGCTGCTGCTGCTGCTGCCGCTGTTGCAGCTGAGACTACGCGGTTGCAGCAGCGGTTGTCGAACTCGTACGTAACACGACAACAAGAGGAGAATAACTCGGCTCCCGACAAGCAGCGGTACAACAGGAGCCGCACGTAGCAGTAGTGATTGCGTTCGCATGTGTGTAGACTTTAGCGTCTTGCGTACGAACGCGTTCGTGGTATCATGTACGGTGGTTTGGATTGGACGGCGCCGAGTTCGCAATCGGTATTGTGCATTTGTAGGCTGAGACGAGCCCTGCCCATACGAGGCTTTCGTGCTTCGACACACTGCCATCTGATGATGCTTGTTCTTCTTGGTTCCTATTCAGCCGGTGCGGGTGTGTAGCAAAGTGCGTTTCGTTCGTTGTGCGGTAGAGGTGCCTGAGAGTATGGAACTCTAGGACCCTACTAGTTCGTTCTAGTTCGTTGGTTACAGACTTAGCCGGAGAAGGCATATGACAACCATGCTGCTGCCGCTTCCGACGCGCCGGTCATTGTGTGATTGTAAGCTCATTTAGTAGCGCAAAAGTAACATTGAAAAGAGACGGGTCCACAACTACTTTTGTGGTTGCCTGGAAGGCAATGCTGGTACGTGCCGCCGCACGGCCGCGTTGAACAGGTTGCGAACGCAGCGCGGCACAGGCTGTCCGTGTGTTTGACGGCAGCATGATCGAAGACGCGAACCTGCCGCCTGTCGATTGGTGTGCAATGCGACCATCATCCGTGACTTTTAGTCAGCTGGCTAATGCTCACACCTGTTCCTCCTGAGGGATGGTACCCATGCCATCGACAGAAACAAGCCCCCCGCCGTGAGGAGGCGGATGAGAGCCTCACGTGCTCTTAGGTGTTTTCATCGCCCACTCTACTGCATCTTCTTTCATGTGAAAAGTGTTCATGTGTTGCGCTTTCCTCAAACAGTTGTTGAGCTTATTTCTCTGTCCTAGTCTTACTTGTTTCGCCAAAAAAAAAAAAAAAATCACCCCACCAGCAGAACCAACAACCACCACCACACACCAGTGCCATGTATGCAACCGTCCCGTCAAAATGCGAGCACACGGGAGAGCCTACAGTACGATGCTCTTTTCGACGCCTCGTGCGATGCCCAGCGGTCATCATTGGACCCGATTGCGGAGGCCTCCGTAAACAGACAAAAGGTAGACTGTTGTACGGTGGGTGGACCAAGGACGAAAACAGACAGACGCGGCACTAACTCTTCTCGTGAAAGACCCGATCAAGGGAAAAAAAAAAAAAAATGCAAGTGGTGAACAAGGAAACACCGTCACTGCGAACCCGGCTTGTGGTGCTTCCAACGTTAACGTTGCGCAACACTGACGTCACACCAGAACGCACATCACATCAGATGCAACCACGAACACCAGTACTTGCATCTACTTAGACTATTGTTTTGTCCGATCCGTCGCGCTTTGGTTCGATGCAGACAAAAGAAAATTGAATACCACGGATAGATGTATGCGGCGCTGACCAGGATGGGCTGAAGGTCTCTCTCAAGGCACGACAAAACTAAATGACGGCATGCGTTTATCATGAGTGCATCACTCAAGGCAACGAATCCCGTCATTTAGCTTTGTCTTGCCTTCGCAGAAACAAACCTTCGGCTCGTCGCGTAAAATAAAAAAGAGTCGGCTACCCCTCCCAGACAACCAAACATGAACGAACCCGGCAATCATGAAAAAATCACCAACCACGCGGGGCCGCGCACCTCCGGAAATAAGCCCCGCGCATTCCTCTCGTTTCGAAATCAAAACTGTTCCCAAGAGCTCGCGCCCCGCTACGTAACCAAGTCGATCACCAACCACGGAAAAAAGACACCACGCACGCGCTCAAATGTCAAAATAATTTTCGCCGCGATCAGCAGGCGATCACGCACAGCACACGTAGTGCAGTGCGGATCCTCCCGCAATCGGCAGCAAAATTTGACAGAGCTGCGGAATGCCAGTTCAATTAACCGAGTTTTTATCGCCAAGATCATGTCAAGCAAGTAAACGGACCAACACCGGGACTTAGCCGCAATCTCGAAAATAGTTCGGCACCACTGCACACCCAGCAGGTTCGAGTAAGAATTTTTCACACGCGAGATAAACTCCCCGAGCTTGAACGGAACGGAAGAAAAAAAAAGAAGCTCGCTCTTGAAAACCGAAGAAACAAATGCTGTTCCACGAGGGAAGCAATGAAAAACAAATCAGCGCAAGCGCAGCAGCACCAAAGGCACACAAAGTCGGCGGCTGCGTCTCCAAAACGGGATACACAAGAGAAGGTCTAAACCTTGCACCCAACAACATGCAGGATTGATTCTACATGCCAGCCAAACTGTCAAGAGATCAAACAGATCCGGCACGCGCATGTAACGGAAAGACTCCACACTTTCACGAGCTCTGAACCAAAACCAGGGCAAGCTGCCACGACCACAAACACACGAAAACAAGGACAACGAATCAACAGGACCAAGTCAAACCCCGTCTAGGGTAGGCGGGCTGGTGCCACTGCTGTAGGCGTCATCCTCTTCAATGCCGAAACCCCCCTCGCCGCCGTCATCGTTGACCTCCTTTCTGTCCACCGCTTCGCCCGCGCCGGCCGTGTCCGTGTCGTTCTCAACGGTGTCCACGCCCGTCACGGTACGGTCGCTTGCGGCGTCGCTGGTGCTGGTGCTGTCGCTGATGCTGGGATCGGTGGTGGCGTCGTCGGGGGTGCTGGCGTGCGTAGTGCTGGCGTCGCTCATGTGGCAGGTTGTGAGCTCGTCCTCGACCTCCTTCATCCTCTGTTGCGTTCTGGCCTCGCGATTCACCGCCTCCGCCTTGTCGTGCTCGCAGCATGATACCTCCTCCACAAGGGTAGACGTAGTCGTCAACACCAGTCGCTGCACGGCCTCCAAGTGGGATCTGTAGTACAGTAAAAGGCGCGGCATTAGAGCAGCCGAGGCGTGCGCGGCGGCGGCGGTGGCGAGGGGGGGGGGGGGGGGTCGTGACTGTTCAACATCAAATCACGTCTGAACCCAATGATGTTTCTGCATGAAAATCTGGTACAGTTGCCATATTGTACACGTCATCGAGACGGCACGTGACCACCCCAACCACCCCAACATTAACCACAACCAACATCGCCATCACCAAGCACGCGCAACGAAAATAACGGCAATCACCAATACCACGCCAGCGGAAACATGCTACTCCTGTGCTTTGCATTTGCAATCGAAGCACGCCAACACGCACCGGATCATTGGATAGCCTGCGTGCGAGCCCCAGCGGTCGTCGTTGTCGAACGGGGGCGTGGCGCCGAGCACCGCTCCCTCCGCGACGTGCGCCAGGCTTTCCACGGTGGACGCCTTCTCGGCGATGTCGTCGGCCAGAGCGAGGGCGACCGCGAGAGCACGGGAGTCCAGGTCCTCGATGTCGGCACCGTAGGACTCAGCGATTGCGCGAGCCTCGTTCACCTACGTCGGTGCATCGAGTGGCGACAGTCGAGACGTTGCAGCGGAGGAAGGAAGGGTGAGCGGGAGATGGGGGGATAAAAAGGGTTGCCGTATGTATGGCTCTCGTTGTGCCAGGCTACGATACAGACATCAGTAGCAGTGCCAAGCGTGAATTGCTGTCAAAACTCCCATGCCGGCTGCTTACGTTCGTCCGGCACAAGGCCAGTTCATCCTCCAGCTCCTTGCTCGTGTCCGTGCCCACGTCCAGAAGGCACTGGAGCTCAATCTCGCGCTGCTCAGCTTCAGACAGCTCCTCTTCTACAGCGAGCGTGGATGCTCGAGCCGTGGCCGCTTCTTGCTCGACCAGGCGGAGGGAGAGCTCCGATCGCTCAGACTCCTTCTGGGCCGCCAGTTGCTGCTCGGCGACGGTATCGGTGAGGGCGGCGACGATGCCCTCGGCGGTGTCGAGCTTTGCGACGAGGTCGCCCTCCGTCCTCGCGGACGTCTCGTGGTCGGAGGCGGCCGTTTCCAGCACGTAATCGACGGTGGCTCGGAGCGCCTCCACCTCGTCACGGAAGTACTTTGCCTCGGCGGCCGCCTCGTTGCGGTCCGCCTCGGACTTGGCCTGTTGCGCCGTGAGCGCGCTCGCTTGAGCCGTGGAGATGAGCTCCTTCTCGTGCACAGTCCTCGTGAGGTCCTTGACGGTGTTCCTCAGCTTGACAATTTCCGCCTTCAAGGCGTTCGAGCGCCTCTGGTGGTAAGGTGGGGTGGACGAGAGGCAGCGCGGGGAAGAGGGTGTGGGAGGATGGGCTGAATGTTCGGGGTATCTATAATAGTAGGGGAGACACGTCGAAAGAACGATTTTCGGTGCAGCCACGAGGGAACAAAATGCTCTCGATATAACCAACCAAGACTTCAGGCGCAACATCGCTGCAACGTTTCCACGCATCGGGCACAACTGAATACAGCGGAATCTCACGATACATCGTCGACATTACCCCAGGGGTTTGGCACTGTTACAACCGCTGAGCTCGCTCCCTCACCCTACAGTACACGGGACAATAACGCAGGCTGCTCGGCTCTCTTATCGACGATAAGTATCAGGACTCAGCGAATCAACTAAAATAACCCTGTACTCTAACACACCAAGCGAGGTCAACCACTCGAGGCGTTCTCGAGAACTGTGGAGGACACGTGTCTCAGTGCTTTCTCAACAGTTGTCCCTCCTTATACTATTGTATATCATCAATGCACCATTCGCCATATGACAGGCGAGGTAGAACTTACCGCAGCATCCAGCGAAGTGGTCGAGACGTAGTCGAAAACGGCGCCGGGAAGACTCCTGTCCGAAAATAATAATAATATGAAAGCGGAAACAGGATGCATGCAACAAAGCACGGACAAATGTTGTGAGACGCTATATGTAAGAAACGAAAGTGCTCCAGTTGTACGGGGGAGAATCAAGACCTGCACACACGGGAGGGGATGGCCCGTGACACCATCTCTCGTCGGAATACGAACCCCGTTGTTGGACTTCTGCGGGAACAATTCACCACATACCATACACGAACAACCTGTCAAAGCCATGCTCAAGACTTGGGGGCGGGGGGGGGAGGGGGTGCTGCACGGAAAAAAAAAGACACAGCGAGAAGGCATAGTGAAAATGCATCTGTTCCATAGCCCTTTAACCGAGAGACCCAAGCATGCAGGAAGCACTCCACTGGCGTATGGTATTCATTGCCCGCTTCTTTTCGGGGCGACGGATGACTACTGGGTCTCACACCACATGCCATCAGTGTGAAGGCAATAAAAACCAACACACACATGACGGAAGACGAGCAGCGTCTGCACACATCTCTCACCTAAAGAATGCGAGGACCCTCTCTTGCTGCTCCTGCTTTGCTACTACCATCGCCGCCTCCTCAATGGCGACGGAGCGGAAGCCCTTTGTGGCGGCCTCCTCCACCAGCCCACGGATAGTGTCGACGC